GAGCTCATTTTACATCCTTCAGATCTTTAGATGTGGTTTACAACCTTTTACTCCTTTCACATTTTGTTCTGCCTCAGCTTCTTTTAGCTTCCTTGTGCAGAATTTAAAAAAAATTATATATAGCTACTTCAGCTAATTTCAGCTGTTTTTCAGCTGGTTTGTGCTCCTTTCAGATTCTTTCTGATAACTACAACATTTTTGTGCATCTTCTAACTTCTTTCTGCTAATTCCAGCTTGGTACCCTCCTTTCAGCTTATTGCTGCAAGTTTCCAATACTATTTAGCTCTTTTCATTCTAATTTTTGCTTTTTCAGCAAATTCCACATTTTTGCACTCATTTCAACTTTTTTCAGCCTAATTGAGCAAAAATGTGCTCTACTTCCTATTGATAATTTAAGCTTTTTTCTATTTTTATCAACTTTTCATCTTTTTTTTTGTTGTTGTTGCTAATTTCAGTTTTTTTATATATTCCACTTTTTTGTGCTCATGTTTACTTCTTTTAACTTATTTGGGCAAACATGATCTTTCTGCTTTCTTCTGCTAATTTCAGCTTGTTCTACCCTTAGCATTTTTAGCTAATTTCAGCCATTTTCAGCTAAATTCAAGTTTTTCCAAGAAACTCTTTGCTACTTTCAGCCTTCTTTATGGTAATTTTAGCTTGTTATGCTCCTTTCAGCGTTATTTTGCTATTTTCAACTTTTTCTGCTGTTTCAGCTACTTTTAGCTATTTTATGCTATATTTAGCTTTTTCAGCTAATTCCACATTTTTGGTGCTTGTTTCAGCTCTTTCCACTTCCTTATGGTAATTTAAGCTTCTTTTTTCCTTTTCAGCAATTTATATTTGCTAATTTCAGCTTCTTTTTTTTTAGCAAATTTCCTAATTTTTGTGCTAATTTCTGCTAATTTAAACCTAATTCTGCAAATATGTGTTCTTTCTACTTTTTATGCTAATTTAGGCTTGTTCTCCCATTTCAGCTACAATTCAGCAAGTTTTAGCTAATTTCAGCTGTTTTTCAGCAAGTTCTTCAGCAATAAGCATTCGCACTGCATTTTCACAGGAAATGCAATTTCTCTTGTTCATGTATTAGATGCAATTTTTACTAGATAAAACATAGAATAAACTATAATGAAAGGAAATCGGATTATTTATTTTGGATTTCTTAGAGTTAAAACGTTCTTAATTCAGGTGTCGGCACAAAAAGTCAATAAAACTGCCTCATACGGCCGCACGTGTATTAAAGGGAAATACTAGTCTTTTCAGTGCAGCAAGGTGTTCATTAATAAAAAGAATGTCGGTTTAGAAACCCTGCAGGAGTGATTTGTCTTCATCTTTAATGCTTCAGACTGATTAAGAAAGCAAACAGTGTGTGTGTGTGTGTGTGTGTGTGTGTGTGTGTGTGTGTGTGTGTG